ACCTTTGTTATACCCGTTGTTAATTCTTACACTGCTGAGTTCCATTTGTTGGCTGGGACACCTACGTGATGGTTCATGGTTCTTCTTTCCTGGGCAGTGTCGCATCTAATGGGTCTGCTACATCATGTTTCTTTACATATAAAAGGCTGCTAGAGGAGAGGAGGAGAGTTAGAGGAAGTATTTACAATGCACGGATTGAGGACAATTAAGCATTAGAGCAGGTTGTTCAGAGAGGTGGTGCAGTCTCCATTACTGGAGGTTTTCAAGAACTCATTGGGTAGAGCCCTGAGCAACTTTGTCTGATTTCATAGCCGATCCTGCTATAAGCACAAGGTTGGATAGAGACCTCCTGAGGACCCTGAATTATCCTATGATCACACATGTAAAGCAAATATTATTTCTTGGAACCTCCACTCAAAGAAGTATATCAGGAGCTGCAGAAGGTGGTATTCACAGAGAATCTGCACAAAGCAACAGAGGGGCAGTTGGGAAATGAAAAAGGAGAATTCAAGGTTGAATCTGCCCATGATTCTCAGATCACATCTTCCAGCCATTCCTACATATGCTGTGTGATAAATAATTGTTAGTGAACTCGAGCATTTGTACTAAAAGCTTCCTCTGATTTCTAGAATTATTCCTTCTGTTCCTCAGCTTTCTCATATTCAGCCTATGTCTCCTAAACTAAGTGGTGTGCTTTAAATAAGGGGGCAATCTTCAGGGAAAGTTGAGTTTGTGATTACCATAAGACCAAGTATGTCTTTTATTTCATGGTTTTTATAATGGATGATAACTGAATTTGATTTTTTTTTAATTTGTATGTCAAATCAGTTTTCATATACCATCCATTTAGACACTTTTTTTTTTTTTTTTTTTTTCCCATTTCTCTGTATGGTAGATAACTGCTAGTTGCACTTGACTTAGGCTGTCAGAGTCTTTTTCTAGTTATAGTGTTAATAGCAAGTTTCAAAATGTGTTTAGTGCAGCCTGATCTTTTTTTTTAAAGCCAGACAGGATTTGAGGTGAATTGCAAAGTGATGTCTTACAAATAAAAACAAACACCAATTCTATCTTTCCATTTCTAAAGCAAAAGCTAAATTAAAATCCTAATACTTCCTTTTTGTCCTGAGTTTTTAAAACATTTTTCCTTCTGCTGACAGTCTCTCAAATACTTGGGAGTTTTGAGCCTTAATTTCACTTGCTTTTTTTTTTTTCTGTCTTCTTCCTGGGCATGGCCGGTGACCTATAGCGTGCTGCTTGGCTGCTGGTAAAACAGGAAATGGGGTGAGTAATTTCTTTTGGCAAACCACTTCTATTAGAGAGTTCTCCAGATTTAGAGAAAGGAGAGATACTCTTACTATAACTTTTTTCCAGCACAGCAGAAATGAGAAACCACTTAATGCAGTGGACCTGCCAAGACATGTATGTTAAGAGAACATTTTAACCAAGCAATTAATGCTATATTTTCGAGGTCAAGACAGTTGCTTTCATATAAAGGTACTTCTGCTAACAGTTGTGGAATATGTAGACTGACTTCCCATGTCCTTGGCCAAGATTTCAGCTTACTTTATACCTTCAACACTAATCATAAGGAAATTCGTAATTGGGACGTGCTGTCATTTTATTTGGTTTTATTTTTTATTGTCCATAGCTTTTGCTGTATGTCTGACAAGAACTCTTTTATATAGACACCATTTGTCTATATAAATGTTGTGCAGGCAAGAAGTTGATTTTATAGTCTTGTTATGATACTGTTGTTCAGTTTACTTGATGTTTACAAAGGAGAAGATGGCAGCTGGTTTGTTTTTTTGTTTGGTTTTTTTTTACCTGGTTTGACCTTAATTGGGGTTTCTTATCTCTTTTTGCCTCAGAGTGTGATTATAGCTAGGATGTGGCGTTTCAACTTGAGTGCAGGCTGTCTGTCCAGCTGTACCGCTTTGAGTTAGCTTAATGGTCCTGAGAGGTGCCATGACGCCATCTGTGAGCCAGAATCTTCTTGTACATGAAAGACATAATGAAATACAGACCTCTTCAGGTTTAGCTTACATTAATAGTGACTGAAAATTGTTAGTCAGGTAATGGTGAAAAGTCAGTAGTGTAGCGAGAAAGATATTAGTGCAGTGGGTGCAAGTTAGTTTTGACTCTTCTTTTTTATACCTCAGTGTTTTGAAATCAATTTAAATGCTTGATTCTTTGTCTACTCCTGGACACTCCCATTCCTGGCCAAATGAGAACATATTAGAGCTGTTTTGAACAAATAAATTGTCTTTGTGGGCAAGAGGAAAGAAATCCACTTTACTCAAAGTTAGTTGAGGATACTGAGGATAGTCTTTGGTGGAAGCCATCTTGGCTGGAAGTACCATTTCAAGATATTCATAGAAAGCTAGACTAAAAGGTGATGAATCACTTCCCACTTTGAGACTAATTTAAAAGCAATTGTTTCATTAAATTGCTTGAGAGAGGATGAGACCCTGTAGGGCAAATATTGTCCACATAGCCTACCGTTGGTGCCATTTGTACAGGAGGACATGCGCTTTGCTCTGTAAGTTCCCAAACAAGTGGTTTGAAATCATATGCTGGTATCCTTACAGGCATCTGCTCCTTTTAATTTCTCTCTCCATAGGCAAAGACACAGCAGTCGAGGCCGTGTCTTGTACCTACAGAGGTAGTTGAGCGTGTCCCAGCAAGGTCAACTGAGGTTGTCATCTGGGCTTTTCCTTTTAGAAATTTCTGCCCACTGGAGTTCATGCCCTCCTTTAATGAAGGACTAGATCGCCCTTTTAACAATAAAAATAAGTCTAACTTTTTTTTTTAAAAAAAAAAAAAACAAAACAAAGGACTTCTGTGCATATCTCTTTCTCAGTTCTTCTCCAGGTAGACTCTGGAAAGACTTTTGCAACTTTTGATCTACCATGAAGCTATGGCATGAGTTTCCTCAGTGCGTGTTCTTTTACACAGGAAAAAAAAGAATCTATTTTTAAATGTTAGTGAAAAAACCACTGGCAAATTGAAACGGGGCAAAACAAAGGTAATATTTAGTCTAGAAGCTGGACAGGAGGCTCCTTAGCAAGTAGCACAGGTGCTGCCCTGCAGGATCCAGATACTCAGTTTACTTAAGCTGAACTAGATGTTGATTTACTATCAGAAGGATCTTGCCTCCATCTGCATGTACCTTCTGTCTTTCTTATGTTAACATAAGTGTTTATGTCACCGCCCAGAGAGCTGAAAAACAAAACTTCTTTTGGTGGATTAGGGTTTGCTTTAAATGGGATCAATGGACTGGTATTACTTACCATGCTGTGTAGTGTCAGCACACAAGTGCTGGCAGGAGTGCATGGCCAGAGGCAGGGAGGAGGCAACATAGTCCTAAACTGGCTTGAGCTCAAGTAGCTACACCTTTAGCTACTCCCTGCCAAACTCTGATGTGTTTATTGGGAAGCGTGTTACCTGGAATCCTGGTCTGGCCTTAATGTTTCCTCAACACTCTGTTAATTCAATACAAAGATTCAGTGCCATTGTAGGAGGTCTTGGAACAGCCTTTCATTCTTTCATGCCATGGTCTGTATGCTTAGTGCTTTTGTCCTTTTTTCATTTGTGTATTGCTTGTTTGCCTGGCACTAGTTCCTTAAGTTTTTCTTGAAATAGTATATATCATGTATCTATCTTTGACAGACTCCTGTGCAAGTTATTATTTCTTTGTGTATGTGATTCAGAAAACTGGGCCCTTCCTTGGCAAAGGATGACATTGTTCAGCTGAAAGAAGCTTATAAGTGGATTATTCATCCCCAGTTGTCAGAAGAGTTTTTTTTTCGGAAAGGTGTCGTATAAATAAGAAAACACTTTTTTCTGTTGTTTTTTTTCTTTTTTTTCATACGTGTTTGTGTGTGTGTATATATATTTATACACTTCTGTATATGAGGGGAAAAAATAAAAATATATACTTTTTTCCCTCATTAACATATAAACAAGTTGCACTGTTCTTATATTCACTGTGGGGGGAAGCAGGGGGGAAGTTCTTTTAACCAGAGATTAATACTGAGGGGTCCAATCTTCATTTTTGTACACACAGATCATTGCATCTTCTGAAACCATCGTAGTCTTTTGCTAAATCTCTTGCTCTTGGGCTGCCATCCTCCTTTTATCAATGAGACTTTTTCAGTTTTCTCATTTTCCAGGATCTCTGTTTTCCAGAGGCTAAGGAATTCTCACACATTCCTTCTTTGCTCTCCTGTTACTGCCAACACTGTTACTGCTCTGTGAGATAAATTGTTCAGGTTGTTAGCATGTTTAGTTCTATGGATAAACTATATTTCTGAAACGTACTGAAAGAGGAAAGGCTGGTCCTTGTTCACTTTAATGAGTGCTAGAGATAGGCGTGTTGGAACCTGCAATACCTGTAAGTAGGCAATAGAAATGTTTTTTCAAACCTTGTTTTCAACTTTCAGATTCTGACTAACATTCTTAAAATGTCTCTGAAATGGATTGACTGAACATGACATTCACATGCCAGACAAATTCAGAAACATCATCACCTTGAACGTAAAGTTTCTGCAAACACAGCTAAAATTCATGCTGAAGACAAGGCAGTCTGCAGTTTTTACTTGTCATTAGCCATAGGACTGACCCCAGGACTAGACTCACTTAGTCTGTATGTTGGTTTGTCAGCTTCCATAATAATTACAGATTTTCTTTTCCCAGGGGTGCTAATTGAAAACATCCCTTTTATGTTAATGAAGAAGGAAATGCTCAGTTACCCTGAAGATGATACAAAAAGAAACAAACTTCTTACATACCAAGTTAGCAAAAGCTCTACAACACTTAGGCACCGAGCCACTCCAGACATCATTGTACCATAAAAGTTACTTGTCTAGTGCTCTTTATCTACAAGGCACTTGAATATTAGCCAATCTTTTCAATAGCCCTCTTGAGGTATTCTGGTATCTGAATAACAGAAGTAATGAGTGTTGTTTGCCCAAGGCCAAAGAGGGAATTGGGGGTAGAATTGAGATTACACTGGAGTTTCTGGTCTAGCTGTCAATCCATTAGGACATGTTGCCTTTCTTTGCCCCAAGGCCATCCAGTCATTGCAAACAAAGCCCCTGACAAAATTTTACAGTGGTGACTACTACAGGGTTTTTATCTTTATTCCACGCTATGCACTGCTCTCCCAGAAGGTTTGTGAAGTTTAGTGACCGTAATAGGCTTTGAGCATACACTGTCTCTGACTCAGTTCCCCCTGTGCAAAATGGGGCCGGTATCTATGATGCGTAGGTCACTCATGTTTTTGAAGTGCTCATCTTTGGTTACTTCAGGCACACATTTTAAATGTCTTTAGATGATTTGTAGAATAAATGGGTTACTTTCTGTTTTGTCTACCTCTTTACTGTTTTCCTAATATTACAGTAAGGATGCTTGAGAATATCCTCCCTCTTCGTTTAACAAAGTATTACCTTCCTTTTTTCTTCTTTTTTTTTTTTTTAATTTAGAGTTTGTTTGAAGTTAGCGTGGTCTTTGCTCACCCAGAAACAGACGAGGAGTGCCATTTCCTGTAAGTTTTAATATAAATAACAAAAGATCTTTATCTAAATATTGTGCAACATTGTTGGTTTGGATTTGCTACAGATGAGAATATGCAATGTTTATAAACTAGAATGGGGCCTGCATCTAAACTTCCTCATATTCAGATAGAGTTGCAGAGCTTAAAGTTACACCATCTCTGTCTGGTTAATTCTGTGCTTTAAAGCCAATATGCAAAATCATCCAGAATTTTGATTTGAACTGGATGGAGAACATTCATGTAAATTGTTCAATTTCAGCCATTTTCAAAGTCGTTACCCTCTTCAATATAGCCATATCATTTTAAAAATTAAATTCAAACCACGTAGTTGCAGGTGGGAGAATCTTTTGAGGTTATGCCTAGGTTTTCCTGCTCTTAGAGGAGACATGGGTGAGAGGGAAGGGTTTGAAGTAAGTTAATGCAACTTAGCTGGTTGATTAGAACAAACAGAAGTTCCCTGCCCACTACGCATAGTTTTTGGCCTGGCCCAGTAGAGCATCTGCTGTACACAAAGAAGCTAAATATTTCTGTGAATTTAGCTACCGTTTAATCGGATTTCTCAAAATCTAGCAGTAGTATATTCTGGATAATTAGGTTCACTCTTCCTGTTTGCTGATGGTTCCTGGAAAACTTAAGTTTCACTCAGTTTCATCACTTGCGCTCCTACTGCAAGTTAAATTTTAGCATAGAAAGAGGCTTGGCATAGAATTTTGACTTCCCTGTTGCACGGTGACTTCATCTCTTGAGACTAAAGATTTCTTTTGCAGCCTTTATATATTTCCCTGATTTTACCTCTTCTGGCAATTTGTGATCTTTCTTTGAATGCCCAGTCTGCCACCTTCTTGGTTTTCAACAACTGCATCCTTCATTTGTCTTGGGGTGGGGGGTGAGGGAATGCATGCTTGGTGACAGACCAGGTATTAGGAAGAATTGATTACTGGTATTTGCTGAACATCTTTCCTTTCCAGCTTCTTCAAGACTGGGCAAAAGGGGGAGAAAGTAGTAGGGCCAAACTACAATTCTAAATAATGTTACCTGCAATGCTGTAAAAACTCAACAGTTTCTGGATCCTGCACCCTTTTGTTCTTATTTATTTAATTCTACTTGATCATTTTTTGTTTTCTGTAGTGCTCTTCCTTCCTCTGAAACCTCTCAGCTCTTCTTTTCAGCTCATCTTTCCTTCCTTTTTGTGACGTTTCAAAAATATTGATGTCGAGCATGTTATGGTGCCGATGTTAGCGCTCCAAGCGGAATAGTTGTAGAGGTGAAAGCTGTAAAAAAGTTCCATTCCGCATTCTAACTGCTCAGGTTTATTCCACGTGACCTGACAATATCCCTTTATTTGCCTTCTCTTTGTAACGTACTTAAAAAGCAATTAAGGTTTTAGACATTTTTCTGAAGTAACAGCATATTACCTAATTTAATTACATAGTAGTTTCTCAGGCATCAAGGCATTCTGCATACATGAATGGCTGGCTCTGGGCATATTCTGAGGCAATGGTTTGGTTTCGATGTAAATATGGTAAATTTGGCAATTGTCACAGCTTTAGTAATGACAGTCATGTTTTTTGTGGAAGCAAAGTAGGACCTTGTCTCAACCTGGAGAAGTCCTCCAGGTATGCTTTTGGGTGGGATTTCTAAGTATGGCATCTGCAATTTCTCATCTCTCAAGCTGTTCTTACACAATTATGTAGGTAGATGTGCTAAAATGACCCTTGGTTTGACATGGAAGATTGAATTGGCTCTTGTTACTTTGTATTTGGAGACTTATGTTTAAAGGTAAGGTAATATTTAAATTCTGGAAGAGGGAATTTGTGATGCTTTGTGTCACAAACTGGCCAGGCAAGTTGCTTGTATAGAAATAGCAAGAGGTCAGACCTGCTTCCTTATAGTCTAAAGTAGTCATAGAGGCATTGAAAAGCACCAGCAAGAAATGATAAATTGTGTTGTAGGCTAGAAATCATCTCTAACTGCATACATAGAAATCTACTAATAGGAACAGCAACTTCCTCTACAGTACTCAGAAAAAGTGTTTCACTGACTTGTGTTTCACTTTTGTGAAACAACCAATAGTTTCCTTTTGAAGAGGCAAAGCACAAATGGTATCGAACACCTAGGGTTACTTTTTCTGTAATAAATTGAATTTTCCTATCCAGAAGCAGCAGTTTGAATCTCTAGTTTGCAGTGTGCATTGTCTAAGAACAGCAAGTATAGATTTCAAGATGTCAGCAAATCTTGCACACAACTTAAACATTCATCATTACCTTTATTGAGAAGGAGTGGAAAGGACTGAAAGCTGAACTGCTTTCCATCCCATCTCAAAGCTGAGACACATTTGCGTTGGTCAGAGCAAAAGAGGCTTACACAGCTTTGTCCGTGATTTCTCTCTAGATCAAGCAATGCACACCTTCCACCATTTGTGGTTTAAGATAAAGTTAATTTTAAAATCTGCTGTGTGCTAAGCTGTGGAAGTGAGATACTGGACATATTGGTGCAAAGACCATGTGCATGCTATGCTTGTAAGTCTGTCTGTCTGCCTGTTCATTTCTTTTTCTGTAAGGGCAGCAGCTAATTTTCATTTCTGTATTTAGAGCCACGGCCTGTCCAGACTGTTTCAAACCAGCGAAGAACAAACAGGTAGGATCTCATAATTGTTGTATTTCTTTTCTGACATTCAGAATTTCACAGCAGTAGCTACAATGAAGAACTTATCTTGGTATTCAGTCAGTGTTTAATGTCTGGTTTTCCTTCATCAAAAATCTCTCCGGTTTTCAGTTGTCTGAAAATAAAGTTGTCTCCTTTATTCAGTTCACATTTCTCTGCTTAGGAAAACTAAGCGCTTGGTGCTTTTCTTTAGGTCATTCATTTTCCAGACTGTCTAAAGGCCGTAATTTTAGGAACGTTCTCTGTAAATACCTCCCTTAAGATCTAGGAATTTGATTGTCATGCATTAAACGTAGCATAAAAGATGATCCTCAAGCTCTCTGTGGGTGAAACAGTTCAGATAAGTCACATTGTGAAGATGAGACTCTGCAGACGAAAAAGAATGATCACACTGCAGTTTTCATGTCCTCTGATCTGAATGAAAGACACAATACATGCAGGATGGTTTTATCCTGTCTACCTCTGGAGGGGGGGAAGGAAAGAAAAGGGACCTTGCCACTTGTTGCAGGCCCTGAGCACACACACAATCATTGACAGAAAAGAGGACATGTAAGAATAAAAAAACAGTTGGAGAGAAGCTGATATAAGTAGGACAGTGGGTGTGATCAGAAGAAGAACAAGTAACTTCTATCAGAAGCCTGTGCAAGGCCTTTTCTTCTTTCCGGTGAAGAGTCTACCGACATTTGGCTGAGGCAGTCTGACCCAGGAATTCTGCCTACTCTACTCCACCTGACCAATAAATGCAAGTCTTTTTTTAGAAGGATAGTATTGTTATAACTCACTGCTTGCTGCATTGCTTTCCTTTAAAAGGGGGGAAATCCCCCATAAGGAGTTAAATCAGCAGGGCCTGGCTGTTAAAACCACACAGGCAACAAGATGTAGGGGAATCTAAAGGGAAAAATACCGACCCTAAAGAGCTGTCAGAGGTTCATCCTTACAAAGAAGCTGTGCTTGAAGCTAGCTTCAAGGGCTGTGTTAATCAGAGAAGTGGTATAAAAACTGGGTTCTGAGTGAAAATTTCTGTTCTGAGTGAAAATATCTGCTGTAGATACTTATTTAAACGTGCTGCTAGTTCAAGGGTTTTCCAGCTCATCTGTTCTGTGAGGAAGGGAAGTGCTATTATCTCTAGTTTATGCTTAGAAAGAGAAAGAGGAGCTTTCCTGAAGGCATCCAGGAACTCTGTGTTAGAGCAAATTGTCCCAAACAGCGACCTGGTATTTTCACTGTTTTTTCCAAATCCTCAATCCAGTTTGCAAAAAAGACATCATTAAATTGGAAATTCAGCAGACGGCCAGCAAGACAGTTAAGGGGCTGGAGCACATGCCCTAGGAGGAGAGGCCGAGGAACCTGGGCTTGTTCAGCCTGGAGAAGAGAAGTCTTTGTGGAGGACCCAACTGAATCTCCTCCTAGTACCGACAGAGAGGTTACTGAGAACAGGGAGCCAGGCTGTTCATTACAGTGCATGGTGGAAGGGTGAGAGATAGTGGACTTAAGTTGAAATGAGAGGTTCAGAGTAGATACAAGAAAAAACTTTTTACCATGAGGACAGTCAGACTGTGGAGCAGACTATGCTGAGAGGGTGTGCAGGCTCCATCCTTGGAGGATTTCAAGTCCTGACTGGATAAAACCCTGGGCAATATGGTTTGATCTCATAGCTGACCATGCTTTGATTAGGAGGTTCATCTAGAGACCTTCTACTGTCCTCAGCCTTGTTTCTCCTGTTCTAGGAACCTAAATTCTGTGTTTTCTGCCTTAGCCTCACTTGAGTTATCAACAGCAGCACCTGGCTATGCATAGAGGATGGTAGTCGTGGCTCCTGCCACTATTGTGCTATTATTACTACTTTTACTATCAGTTCACCCTTGTGAATTGATGCAGCTCGGAAACTGCCAAGCCGTACCATTCAGAGCCCTTACTTCTGAGTATGAATGAACTTTTGAACTTTATAGACAGGTATCTACTCAACAGTATTATTTTCAGAAGAACTAGCTGCCTACTGTCACTGAGATAAAAGCTGGGGCTTAGGTATACTTAACTTTTGGAAATGGGGAAGCTGGTTTAGGTTTCTGTTCATGGATTTAGGATTCTGTTTTTAATCTATTTTGCAAATTTGGACCTGAGCTCCCAAGCACTAGTTCTTTTGTTCTTGCTTTTGCACTTTTGTATATCATCTGAAATAAGATAGTTTCCAAAGATACACTTAGTTAACCAAAGGGCAGACTTAGCAATTGAATACTCTAAGGAGCTGGAGTAAGTTTATTTGGAAGCATGACAGTAACTTTAGACCTGCTGAAAGTCAGTGGCACTTGTTACTTTCTTCTGTGTAAAAACAGAGTAAGAAAACATATACTGCTGTTTGTACATGTCTTCTAGAAAGAAGGGGGCAAATCTTAGTTCTACGACTAAATGACTATTATGTTCCAAACTGTCAGCTATATTAGTTGCTTTCATGTTGTGAGTAAAGTTACTTGAATAAATTTAGGCAAAACTACCTGTTGCTCTTTGTTGCCCTATTAAAGTTAGGGTTAAGATAACAGTAAGTTCTTGCTGATACAGAGTTGCTTTTAGGTATAAGAAAACACAAAACACAAGTGAAAAAACTATATCGTGAGAAGCGTACGGTGTGTATGTTTTAGGGTTTTTTTCTTCCTTAGGCATATCCTTTCTTAGCTTCTCTTAGTTCTTGACTCATTTTTTTATTTCACTGTGCAGTCTGTTTTCACCAGAATGGCAGTTATAAAAGCCCTAGAGAAGATAAAAGAGGAGGATTTTCTCAAGTAAGTATATACTGAAACTGGTTCTTAGTATTGTGCTTTTGTATAGAATTAGGATGGAGAGGAAAATATTAGGTGGGTAAGTAGTGGTTGTTTAAATTCTGCTAGTTTACTGGTTAAAATGTGTTGCGTTTTCTATTCTTCTGGTAATAAAATGTCATTCCAGATCTTTTATTTAAGGAGTAATCTTAAAATGCTTGAATTAAGCCACAGAGGATGGAAAACTGGACATGACACAAATGATGATCTTTTTCCCATTAGTAGAAGTGCTTCATTGGTTGATTATCTCAGAGCTGCACAGAGGAGAAATTGTGGGACAGAGAGCTGCAGTTCTGCTCTGTGCTTTCGGCAGTACGTCACTGCAGATCTCTGGGCTGACATGGGATTTAGAACGATTAGAAGTGAAAACAGTTTGTTGTAGCATTGCCAATCATTTACATTCGAAAATCTTTATGTACATCCCCAAAACCACAGAAGAGATTTAGAAATCATGGAACTTCCTTCTGTATTTTGAACCTTAGAGTTTGTAAGGCAAACTTCTCTTTACAAGAAAGACTTTTTCCCGTATTTCCAAAATGTTAGGAGTTGAGTTTTAAGAAAACACCAAGTGCTGTAATATGGTAAAAATCACAAGCAGTGGGAAGACATGAAGAGACACTTTCTCTGTAGTTCGCTGTGCTTAATTGCACTAAGTCTTCGCAGCTCTTTTCTTTGATTTCCAGCAAAGATTTAGTAATAGATCCTGAAGATAGTTTTCATGCAGTATTTGATTTCATTATTGCTATAGCTATAGTATGGTGCGTCTTATTAGCACACTTTGGAGTGTTATACTTAGATAATGTTCAGTAACAGATTGACAAAAGTATTTTCAATGCGGTGTTCTTGGTTTGCTTAATGTTTATCCATTTCTCGGTGTGCCAGCTTTTAATGTGAATACGGAGTTTATACTGTAGCTGTGTGTGACTGAAGTCATCATCTTTCATGCCATTATTGCTATGGTGATGCTCCATCATGTTCTGATATTACTAGTCTTTTTTAATCTTTTTTTATACAGGCATTTTCCATGTCCCCCAAGTTCACCAAAGAACCTCTGCGTTGCTCTGGAAATTCAGTGCAATAATGGTGCAGTTTTTGTGGCTGGTAAAGTGATCCATTTATTTGCTGCTGTGTTGTCTTAAACATAACTTTGTAATATTGCCACGAGACCCAGAAGATGCTTGCTATTTGTTGATTCCTGTAATTAAGCATAAGGAGGAAAAAATGAAATCTAGCTCTATCCAAGAGTGGACTCTGAAAGGGGAAGAAATTATACTTGCCTTTGCTGAAGACAAGATTTGGTCAAAAGTTAGAAATTACAGATCAACATGCTAAAATCAAAACTATTTGCCTGCTCTTACATTGTGAATTTAAACTTGGAGACTGTGTGGTGGAGTATGGTTGAAGATGAGTGGGAGCTGCAGACAGCTGTATCAGGGCCAAGGTCGGGTTCCCATGTTAGGAGCTGCAGGAGGGGAGCATGTCACTTCTGCTGCTCCCAGTGTACACACACCTCCGTTCTGGATATTTGGGAAGATCCTGCTTTTCCTTGCCATTGTTTTTCTTTTGCTTTGAGAGATGGAAGAGTTTTCTCTTCTAGAGACAGCACAGGATGATGTGAAGATTTAAAACGACTTTCTTTGTGCCCGTGCTCATTAAAGGGGCTTATCCAGAAGCAGTTCATGAAACAACGAATTTTGCCCTGTTGTCGAAGCTTGCTCTCTCCTTCGGAAAACCTTTATCCCTGCAAATCCTGCGGTTGTAATATGCCCCCTCATAATAAGCATGTGGTTTGGGAAAGGCACTTCCGCACGAAATAAGCTCCCAGCAGTGCCGTTCACTTGCTTGGATTTTGATTTGGATTCAGAGGTTTTCACCATCTGGATTTGTCTGCATATTATTCCATCCAAAAATGCCAGTCTTAATGGGATTAATAAAGGTTAAATTTTAGAAAGCTTAGCTCTTTCTAATTCCCACCTCCAAACCAAGAGATAGCATCTGAAGTAATTGGGTGAGTCAGGTAATGCAACAACATTTGGTGTCCCTGAGTTGAGACGATTCAACTTTTCTATCACCTGCCTGCAAGAGTACCTACCCTTCCCCTAGTCCTGTGTATAAACAACCACTTATTTAAATATATGCAAACAGATTATTTTTAAAAACCCTACAATTTTAATCCAACATACTATGTTTAAAAGGATGGTACAAATCCTGACTAAAGGAAAATGTAAAATGAAAAGAAAAAATGCAGAAGTGAATGTTCTCATGGCAGGCTAGTTGGTGTTCTGTACATACCTGTTTCTTATTTTTACTTACTGATTAGACAGTTAGATGTACATTTTCATGAGTCCAAGATATCCAGTGTCTTTTAGCCTTTTCCAAACACACTGTTTTATTTTAGGTTGCTTTGCTGGATGGTTTTATCAGAATTCATCTGTATGGAGAAAGAGACAGAGGGTTAGCTTTCTGCATGTGATTTAATACCGGTTTGGCAATTTATAGTTTATAGCTTGTTCCAGACAAAACCAAAAATAACCCAGGCAGGATGTTGTTTTTAATTTTTGAATAATTAAATCCAGAATAGAAGAATTTATTGAGTACAGTGCAGTTATGTTGTTATTACAGCAGTTTAAATGAGACAGGATCTTAATTTGTAAGCACAGTTTCAGAGTTGGTATTGCCCTCTTGACCTTATCTTTGGTGTTCACTGAACGCTTCCCCCCGCAACTTTTTTTAAAGGTTCAGGAGAAGCTGTCAAACCGAGAAACACCTTCTGGTTTTTTTAACCCACTCTTGTTCAGATGAAAAACTGAAATTATTAGAATGGGGAGTCGAGAGAAAAAAAAGATCATTTTCCTTTTTCCATTTTATGGAAAGAGAATTTAGCAGTGCGAAGCTGACTTCCGAATGATTAGTCATAGCACTTTCATTATTTGCCCCAGTGAAACAGTATTAGTCAGTTTCCCCATTTGTTTGTGTGGGTTTTTCTGCAGATCGAAATGCAAGGAGGAAACGTTGTTAGAAATAGGAAAATATGATACTGAAAACCAAAAAAATGGAGATGACAGAGGCACAGTATAGCATAGCTTCTTTGAACCCCTTTTTTATTTTCTGTATGCAAGGTTTCACATTGAAACTTGTTTGTGCAGGGGGGTTATTCATTGTTCTTTATGAATGAGTTCCTTGTTTTGTGCATATTTTCACTTCTTATAAAACCTGTCAATAAGAAAGCTCATCTTGGTCATCCGTGTCAGACTTGTTCTTTGTTTATAGCAGTCGTGTCACGGGAGACGGCAGGCTAGTGTGACATAACACGAGACTATGACTGGAATCAGTCAGAGGATGGCAATCTCTTTACATGGCAACTTTTCAAGGTTCCTGAAATTTGTACTAGTTCATTATTGAGACATTTTGCTCGCATGGTTTTCCTTGTAATGAGCCAAGGCATTTTAGTTTGGATTTCTTTTGTTAAATGTTCAGACAATGGCAGAACTTGGATTGTAACCTGAACTACTTGATACAGGGGGGTGTGGGAACTTCTTCACTTGGGACTTACATACATTGGTGGACAGGCATATGTACAGCACTAGTTTGGTATATGGGAGGCTGGTTAAAGACCATGGTCTGATTCAAAAAAATTATTTTTCCATTCGGAGTTAAGTTGACTCAGACTAGGCACTTGAACCTCTGGGTTTTCACTCCCAGTTGTGTCAGGCTATATACAGTTTTAGTTTTATGGTAATACCTGAAGGTAGAACTGCAGCGATTCTCTCTACCTTTAAGTTGCCCATCTCGGATACTGTGAAACTCTCAGAGGTGCAGCAGCATGCATTTCATACAGTTGCTGTAACGCTCTTGCCGTAAAACAAGTTTAAGCCTGTAAATTTATTTTCACAAGGCTCCGATGAAAGTTAAATGTGTTGTGCTGTGCAGTACTGGAGCTTTTGGCCATTGCTTTAGAATGATTACAGGTAACATAGTTGTTTTTTACAGGAAGATACAACAAATATTCAAGGAATTTACCTCAGACTCCCTGGATTATTGATGGGGAGCGGAAGCTGGAATCTTCAGTGGAAGAACTGATTTCAGAGCATCTAATGGCAGAATTCAAAGCAGATAGTAAGTATCTAGGAGATCTTTTACCATATATATTTTTCATCCTTACTAGAATATTTTGTCTTAGTAGCTACTAATGTAATACAAGAGTGTAATGGAAAAAACCTTGTTTCCTTATCCCTCTCTTATCCTTCCAAGTCCAAGCTTGTAAACTTTTTTTACGTATGATCTGTGAGTAATTAGCTGACTGCTTTGTTTTATGCAGTGTCTTTTATCCTTCTAAAATATCTCCTCAGTTGATCTGATGATGCAAATATTATGGTTTTAATGTGGTGGCATTTTTTCCTAGCCATACTTCTTAACGGTTGATAATTCATAAAATGACTGTAACAAGAAGGTTTTTGCCATCAGTGTTCCATAATATCTGCCTAGTCTTTGACCCCTTCGTATTTCTTACCTTGATTAATTTATTTTCTTCAGTGCAGAGAGTTCCACAAGCTAAGTGCTTATCCAGGTATTATCCAGAAAAAATAATCACTGCCCATCATTTGTCATCTACTAGACATGGAATTAGAGACCATTAGAGGCCCAAGGAAAAATTGCATTAAATATTAATTTGGAAAAAACCAGCTACTTTCCCCTCCTCTCCTCCCTCCTCCCAGTGGATATGTTAGTCTGAACAGTAGGAAAATCCTCAAACCACGTCTTTAGGCCAGGTACTATTAACACCTGATTTCAGCTTGTGAAATTACCACAGGTGACTACCAGAAGTGCACGTGCAGTAATGTTGAGAAGAGATATGAATGAATAGAAAGACCATTGCCAGTAGGTCAAGGGAGGTGATCCTTCCTCTTTATTCAGCACTGGGGAGACACATCTGGGTACTGGGTCCAGTTCTGGGCTCCCCGGTACAAGAAAGATGTGAACATACCAGAACAAGTCCAGTAAAGGGCTGTGAAGATGATTAAGGGTCTGGAGCATTCCCAGCTAAGAAAATTCTGATAGTATGACCAAAATACGCCTTCATGACCATGGAAGATGGTTATGTAGTTGCCATAATATGACCAGAGAAATGAGAGATAATAAAAACTGAGGAAATTTTTATGCGCTCTTTATGTTTCCTATGGAGGAAAAAATCTTGGAACGCCTTGGAATTTTCAGAGGCGCTTTGGAATAGAGCTGCAAAGTCACCTCTAGTGCAGGATTTGGTCCCCCATTCCTCCTTCAGGCAAAGCTTAAAGGTGGAAGGGGTATGATGAAGGAAACTAAATACCCAACAGTACATTTTTATAGCTTGAAAGATGAAAAAACCAAATACACAGAGGTTACTTTTCAGTTTGGACTTGAATTTTCTTCCTCTTTTATCCAGGTGTGTGTGACTAGCAGAAATGTCTCTGAAATCTTTGGAAACCGTGGGTGTATTTAGGATAAAAAGTTGTGTTTTGGAGGAATACAGCTCAGTGTGGTTTTATTCATAGACTTGAAGTAGCTGGATAAGAAATGGACAAAATTAATTAGTAAGTGGAATTCCTTTAGGATGGTACTGCTTTTTTCCGGACATTTTCAGGGTTGTCGTGGTCACATTCAGGCCAAGGCACTAGGAGTGCTCTTCAAGAAACTTGTGAACCTGATGCAATAAACAATAACTCTCGCAGATTTTTTCAAATACAGCGCAGGCTTCATTTTATAAAGATAGCTCTTCAAAGTATATTTGCAAACAAGTTTAGAAAGAAAATGTTTCACTTTTTAAAAGTGAAAGTAGTAAATTGTAGAGTATTAAAAATGTAAAATAAAATCTCACCTCCTTTGTTCATATGTGTTACAGGCTTTAATTTTTCTTCGTCTGGAAGAGAAGATGTGGATGTAAGAACACTAGGCAAAGGTAAGGCTGGGAACATCCCTGGTGAAACACAGAAACAAACAAAATGGTTAACCGAAGCTACTCTAACAGATCTTGCTGAATGCTAAGTGCATAAGTGTGTGATTAGGCATGCTTTGAAATTTTATCTCGGAAACATTTTAGTGATATTTATGTATTTATTCCCAAAGACTGAACAGTTTCATAAAACCAACTGAAAGAGAAGCCCCTTTTCAGTGTCCTTGGCTGCACAGATGCATGGAAATGCATAGCTTGTTAGGAATATTTTATTTTATTCACTTCCTATTTTTAAGCATTTATGTCAGGCTGATTCCTATCTTGTTTTCTGTTGGATCCTTCTACTTTTCCTCACTGTCACTGGGGAGTGGGGAAGCCTTATTTTCTTCTTGAACTTGGGTCCTTTATAAAGGTCAGTTGCTTTCCAAAATGCTGAAGCTACTATAGCCAAAGGAGGAGGGGAAAGAAAAAGGAAAAATTAACAATGATGTGTTCCAGTTGCTGTCTGATTTGTAGTGTAATTCTTGGCATTGCTTATACTGGGGATCATCCCTGGCCCTGAGCACAGAAAGTGCAGCTATTGCAACAGATGTTTAGCTGAGGGAGCGGGATTTAACATTATCTTGCACCTGGGCATTGCTGTAGGTGACAGAAAATAAGCTAATTAACTTTTTTCTTATTTTATTTTTTAATTAGCACAGACTTGTACAAGATGTCTTCTGGGAAGTCATAATTTGCACTTATTGCTGATACTGGGGTTTAGTAGCCAAAAAAAGTCCCTTGTTTCTTTCCTTCCATCTGATGCTACATCCCTAAACCCGCAAGTCCTATCCCTGTTTGCATAACAGCAGACAATCTTCACACCTTCCAACCTTACTGCATAAATTCAAACGTTAATTTAGAACAACATGTTTTTATGTTTTATGACTGTGCATGTTGCCAGGAAGGCCCTTTGCAATTGAGCTTGTGAATCCTCGTAGAATACATTTTACTGCTGAGGAAATGAAGGGACTTCAGCAGGTAAATCATTTGCACCTCATGGAACTCATAAAGCATGTGTTTCTTCTCTAACTGAGCAGTTTTGCTAACTGATTCTTTTTTAAATATCACAGACAATTAATAACTCTTCAGACAAAATACAGGTTCGAGATTTACAGCTTGTCACCAGGTCAGTATTTATCATCACTGGCAAGGGATTTCGAAGTGATGCTTTGGGAGTTTTGCAAGCATTCTTGCTCACAGCACTATATAATTATGCTTATGTTATGTGAGTAATTAATTTCTTTTGTTTAGAGAGGCAATTGGTCGTATGAAGGAAGGTGAAGAGGAAAAGACAAAGACCTATAGTGCCTTAATATGGACAGACAAAGCAATACAGAAAGAAGATATTGCATTTCTAGATGATATCAAGGTATCTGTAGCTCATTTTGCTAATTTATGTAGTACTTGTCCTGGTGTCTTAAGGGAGAGTTTATATACATGCACCCACGGACATAGCTCTTCCTCTGCGTTTGGTGTTTTTTTTTCACCGGGTTTCTCTTGCTATAGGGACCTTCATACCTCCCTTCCCCCTTCTTATACTTCCTTACTTCTCACCATTGTCATGCTACCAATATAGCTGGCCGGCTGTTAGCCAAGAAGACAAATTATTGTATAATGTCAACCTTCCAGTAGACCGAATAATAAAAAGTAGTGAATGGGAGAGGAGGAAATCTGGCACACACACACCTTTCTTTACCTTAGATAATGTTTTGCATAAGTGAAAGGAGCGGAGAAGATCTTTTGTTCTGCAAGCTCTAAAGCCATTCTTCCACAGCTGCAGCAATTAGGAGTTTGAAATGTCTATGGAAAATAATGCAAAGAGGCCTTACAAAGTGCTTAAAGTAACAAGCACGCTGTGTTCTTGAGAACTTTCTCCAAATGTTGGTCAGAGAGATACTGCTGAGGGAGAAGTGTGTTCAGTTTTTGTTGAACTGCACCATTTCCTATGGGTCTTGGCCATGAAATCATTCTCGAAGAAAGGACTTGAGCCATTACAGTTCAGGGAGACAACTGTTGTGAAGCTTTTGGTTTTTGCATGCCCACTCACTTCCTGAAAAGTTGCCTTTCAAACTGCTGCATCTCATTTGGGAAAGGGGGTGGGGAATGAACTTTTAAAAAGGCTGTTATGAGATCTAATCTCCTTTCGGGGTTTTTTCCCTCACTTTTATTTCTAGGGGGTTGGCTGTAGTTTAGACAAAGCATTTTGTGGGTGGAATCTTTTTTGTTTTTTTTTTGATTGCCTTGAGGCTCTCAGTGAGCTTCTAAATCCTGGAGTCATTCCAGCAAAGGACTATGGAGATTTCAAGGTTATTCCTCTGTATTTGTGATTCCATTAGTTTGTGTTCATATGAGGCCTTCTCATTTAGCCTTTGAGAGGGCTGTCCTTTTTTCCTATGATAAACATGGAAAAAATTAGTCTTGCCTCAAGAAGATTACTCAGCTACCATAATACAATATAAAAAAAGATGTGATTGGTTAACAATACATACGACTCTTCCAATCTGTGCAGTATGTTGCACATTTCCTTCCTCATTTATTTTGTTACCTCTTGTAACAGGAATTAAAACTTGACCAGAAGACACCTCTCCGGGTTCTTCACCGAAGGCCTCTAGCCGTAAGATGTCGGATCATTCACACCATGCAATCTGAGTACGTAGACGAGCATCATTTTCGCCTGCATCTGAAGACTCAAGCAGGAACGTATCCTTAGATGCCATTACACAACGCATTTACGAAACAGCTTGCTGATTAAGAGTAGTTTGGGTAATGGGAGGTTTCCTGCTTTTATCGCTGCGGTGTTTCTAAATCCCTGCTCTTCAGCAGTCATATGTTGCTGCATAATGTTTGCTTTTATGTCAGAATTTCACATTCAGGCTTTTATTCAAAAATGCTACTCGTGTGTATGTATTTTTGTGATGACCAGTCTGATAGTTTTAAAGTATATGATAGCTATAAAAATGTACTGGTTAAAGATATGCTTCTTCTAATTTAACTGAAAACTTTTCACCTTAGAAAATAAGCTTTTCCTCAATATTTAATGCACTGCAATGCGTACTGTAGATTGCTGCTACTTATAAATTAACAGTCTTGTCATAAAGTCACCGCTCACTTTGGAATAAAACAGAAAATACAAGTCGATAGTGCAGTTTTTGGCATTAGAGTCAGAAGCCAAGAATTAGGATGTCTTTTAAAGATGGGTGTGGGCTTAACAGGACGTTCAATTGGCTTAGGAGTAGAAAAAGACACTATTTTTGCTTTGAGCATTTTTCACCATACTCTTTTTTTTTTTTCTTTTGATTTCTTTGCGGTAAAATATACCTTTCCTTAGCCAGTATTCCTAGCTACATTAAGGAATTTGTGCATGGAGACTTTGGAAGAACAAAGCCCAATATTGGCTCCCTACTGAACAGAACTGCTGACATTCTGGAGTTGGATGTAGAAGTAAGTTGTTTGCTATTTATCTTTCCTGGAAATTAGTAACGTAGTTGCATTTGTGAGATGGTTTCAGTGGAATTGCTCTAACGGAATCAACATTCCTTACCGCAGTTAATAGAAAAATTGATGTTAATGCAAAAATAGTGGTTTGTACCACACTGCCACGTGTGACAGGCTTCCTTTGCTGAATTCATGTCGGGGAGGGATGGGAGGACATATCATGAATTAATGACACTTATTATTAGCACCCAGTGGGACAGAGCTTAGCAATGTTACATGTACCACATCATTTCTTTTCAAAACTGGGTCGGATAAAAAATAGGAGAGATTTGACTTCCTGTTTCAGTGCTGGTTCAAACAGCAAGATATTGTATCTGTTCACTTGCTGGAGTCAGATGAAAAAACAAAATTTGCTTTGGTTAAAAGAATGTATGTAGAGATGTGGATTTAATATTTAATCTAGTGGTTTGGTTTATTTAAAACATGGGTTTTCATTTCAAGTAGCCAGAGATCAGCATGGTTGTGCTCATGTATTTCTGGAAAGCTGCCCACGTGTTACATTTTGCGGAACAGACTTGCAGTTTTTTGCATATCTTTTGTAGGATAATACAGAAAGAGAGCTTGCAGAGGGCACTTCAGTTGCTTCTGAAAACAGGAACACCTGACCTGGGGCTCGGGCTGATAAGCATCGCTCTCGTATGGATAGATGTCGCGACAGTTATTGGACATAACTGTGAAAGATGTTGGGGGCCTTGAAAATAATTAGTCATCTTGCTGATAATGCATTTTAGCTCACCCTAAGAGCCTAATCCTTTGATGAAGTTGTAGGTCAGGCAAGGAGCGGGTATGATTAATGTAGGCAGTCTTGAAGCCAAGGTGTTTAATGTGCTGTGTTGCGATCGCAAATGGTGATACTACGGTAGTGTAGGGTGTTCTGCTTTTGGAAGAGGGTGAGCAACAAGTTTATGCCCAAAGGGAATTGGAGATGTAGCCTCAGGGAGGCCAGGGAAGAAAGACATAATCCAAGTTGTAGTAATTACGACATTTGCTTCTAATAAAGTGTCAGGCATGTTTTGTCCCTTTTGACTAACAGTCAGGATGACCACTACTGATGTTGCCGAGATAATTCTTGCACATAATGCTTGACAGCTTATTCTTTTAGTCTGATCTGCTCAGGAGGCAGATTTGGGGACAGGTGATGGTTTTCTCCTTGAGCCTTGCCTGCACTGCCCGATACCTGAGTATTTCTGTGGCATCAATCAACAAGTTGTTTGTTTTCACATCATAATGGCCCATCTGTAGGATGGGTAGAAGATGGAGATGGATCATGTTTCTAATTAACAGTTCTGCAAATGCAGCCCAACATCAAATGATTCTGGGAAGTAGTAGTACAAGGAGTTGTGATTCTGCTTTATGAAGAAAACCCAGCTCCCAGGGAGCTCTCGCCAGACACACATGGTGTCACTAGAAGGTGGCTGTTTCTTGCCACTGTCTCCTGCTTGTCTTGTCCCCTGCCTCTTATTTTAGTGTCCTTTATTTACTCTGTTTCTTTACACTATTAGCCTGTAGCTGGCAAGCATAGAGTTCTGATAGCAAGTCTCTTTATACGTGTAAAATACCGTGTCTGCTGATTTTGCCTTTGTTTTTTCCTCCCTGCTCTTCTAGTCTGTTGATGTTGACTGGCCTCCAACCCTGGATAATTAACTTTTCAAGTTGGGACGAGGAAGAAGCAGCAACGCTGTCAGCAGCTGGTTACTGAACACTGTACAGTATTACAGCTTGGTTGCAAAGTATTTCTGTTGAACATTTGGATCATGTTGATCTGCCAGAGGATACTGATGCTTTGAATCAACTTTAAACACTCTGGAACAGGTAGTGTTCATTCAATCTCTAGCCTTATTTTAACTACTTCTGTGCATACAAAGATTTTGGTAAGCTAGTGTATTGTTAGTAAGTCGTTTTAAAAAACAATTAAGAAAAAGATAAATGGTGTAACATGTGCAAATGGTGTACTGAGCAAGTACATCAAATATGCTTTCTGCAGTAGTTTAAAATGTTTTAATTAAAAATAACCCTCCCTCCAGCCATAATTTTTTTTTAACTCTTTTTATATTGGATGCTGCAGCTTTCTTGTCTGGATGCAGGTAGCACTGAGTTACCTGAAACCCAGTCCTAACTTTTTCTGAGCGCTATTCATGCAGGAGTATTTCCCAAAAGTCAGGGATTCTCTGAAACCAGTAGGATAGTGCCTGGAACGAGGCAGCACTCTGCTCTCTGCTGACTGCTTTTTGGTCAGTGCCAGTTTTAGGGATGGGCCCATTTGTCTCCCAGACAAAGCAATTTTCAAAGGGAAAAAAAGTTTTCAGAGGAAACTTTGCACTTAAACCCAAGTTTTTCTCATTTAAAAACATCAGCAATGCTTCCTAGAAACAACAGTTGAGGTACTTGAGGCCGCAGCAGCTCTCTGGCCTGGTTACAGACCTCTTCGGGCATAGGATTTCCCCAGTTGAGTCACCATATATAAAAAGATTGGGAACTCCTGGCAGTGGTGCACAATGGAAATCTGAAGAAAAAATAGGAATACCAAGAAGCCCAAAGTACAGGCAAATATAAGAGGTACTGAAGAACGTTGTTATTGAGAGAACAAGTCAGAAATAAAAAGCTTTGGTTGTAGCATAGCACATTTTTTTTCTAGTATCCAACCTTGGATGGATGCCTGGAAGAGTTGAGCATTGCCTAGGAACTTGCCTGGAATAGGGAAGAACTGAGGGGTTTTTTTTTTTTCTCCTTTGCTTGTGTTATTTTAAATGTTTCGCACAACACAGGGGCTGGGCAGCAGGATTGTTTTTATTTATTCGCCAGGTCCCACCACCTACATCTTTAGGAAAAGCCACTTTTATGCCTGTATCATGTTAATCCATTCGGAAGGTGCTTCTGCTTACTTGAAGTACAGAAGAGAGTTAAACTATTGACAAGAAATTAAGGTTTGGAATTTAAGGGCTCTTCATTAATTTAACATTTCAGAAATAAAGAGGGTAATATTTGCCAAGACAAACCACTGTTTGGGAACAGGGAGGATTACTGAGATGTCCTACCTTCAGTTCAGTAGTGCCAGGACCTCATAATAGAACAGCTGCATGGTAATTTTAGCTGAAGGCTCAAAAAGGCATTAATAAATACATTTTCTAGGAGGTCCTAAAAACTGATCTTGAAAAATTAGTCTAAATATTACACACACTGCCTGTGATGGGCTGTCAAAACTTGTCTCTTGTCATTTGTTTTCCTAGTCCACTGTAACGTAAGCATGGTGGTAGTTCAGAAGCTCACAAAAAATAATAGGAACATGATTCAGACACTAATATTTTTTTGGTTTTAATCTTAAAGCTGTTATGAGCAACAGATTCCAGGAGTAGTTGTCTCAGATAATAATCTGTACCCAGAAAGGAAGTGTCATGAATGATGGAAAACTTAAGAAACTGAATTCAGAAAACAAACAAAAGAGAATTTCAGTCTCGCGTCTATGTGATTTCTTGAAACTCAAAGTGAACTAAAATATGATTTATAAATTCCATAAACTACAGGGGAAAAAAAAGGTAAACAAGACTGCACTATGGACATGACAGGTATCAGAAGAGCTGTTGCAAGGGGGAAATAGAGCTCACAAAGCAGAAGCAGAAAGGACTCCTGTCATAGTGCAAGGACACTCGAGGCGCTCCCATCCACAGCTGCAATATGCTGTACGTTATCGTGGTGACAGTGGAGATCATGTTAAGAATCAAAGTGCAGATTAACAAGGCTATAAAGATTACACTAAATGTGCTGAGTCTAATCTCTTCTCCATACAATGTAGAGATCCACCAAAAATTCCCAAATCGCTTATTTTTATGATAAATGTAAAGTATCCCAATGAGGGGGAAAAAAAGCTGATGATGCAAGTATTGCTACAGCATCTTAGATAGTTATTGTTCAGTGATCATGTGAAAATATGAACATGAGAGATTAAACAAAGTTCAAAAACAGATTACAAGTCTGCAGTTTCTAATACAAGGTAAACACTTTGAACTATCATAATCTGTAATGAATATTGCAGCAATAATATTAATGTTGTACTTAGGCCTTCATCTGCTTTTTAAAAGTAAAATACCTACTCATGAGTACTTCAAATAGTATGTTTTGTGAAAATAAGATTTAGTCTTCTTCATGAAGCATGTGTGAAAGAGGTAGGTATTTTCTAGCATGTTATGTGAAAAATACTAAAAAATGAGGTCCAGCGTTCCTTTGCGCCATCCTTCTTTGCACTGAAAGGACTCAAAATAAAGCCGTTGTATTTCTCCAAACAAATACCTACTCATGAGTACTTCAAATAGTATGTTTTGTGAAAATAAGATTTAGTCTTCTTCATGAAGCATGTGTGAAAGAGGTAGGTATTTTCTAGCATGTTATGTGAAAAATACTAAAAAATGAGGTCCAGCGTTCCTTTGCGCCATCCTTCTTTGCACTGAAAGGACTCAAAATAAAGCCGTTGTATTTCTCCAAACAACCGGTCACCTATAATGCCCCCCTCCCCCGACATTTTTTTTTTGCATCAGCTTAGCTGAACCTGGAGAAAGCTGTACCAGTAGCCCAGCTCTAGGTGAGCATGAAAGCATCTGTCCTCTCTGCCCCTCTGACTAAAAAGTCAGTTGCTCTGCCACAAAAAATTGCTGAGTGCAGATGAACCCTTACTGCACACGTTGCTTTAGGTTTTTTAGTGGCCAACGGTAATTGTGAGCAGAAAATATTTTAAAAAGCCCCAGGACAAGCAACCCATAACCTACCTTCTCCCATTTCTCTGGCTTTCCTGCGGTGAAGGATGTCATGAATCCGAGAAGGTTGCAGAAGCTGAGTACTTAGTATAACCAGTTTTTTAATTACCAAACCAACTCGTTTACAAAGGAAAACAGAACTTTGAAAATATTTAATTATACAGTAAAAACAAATTGTACTATAAAGAGCCTTCTATGAAGTGAGTAAAGTGTTTACATTTAATATACTTAAAATTGAGAACTTCAAAAAAAGAACTGAATAAACAACACATTTCAAGCTTTCTTTGTATTTGTTTCGTCTCTCTATTACTTAAGATCGCAGAGGAGCTATGCAGAAGTGAGGAAGAACTGCTTTAAAATGTGGAAAGTCAATTCATTGAGCTGTGTACCTGGAGTTAGGCGAAGCAGTTTTCCAAACTTCATATATTCTACATTGTCGAAGGAGCGTATTCTGTCAAACCTGTGTAATTGGTGTAATGCCTTACAGCAGCAGCACCTTATTGCTTTGAATGCAATGAATTACTGCAGTTAGAGAGTCATTGCTTTCCTATAAACCACGGAGGTTTTTTGGAATTCCTTTCTGCCTTGTGTACAACTATATGTCTCAAGTGGCTTTTTTGATTTGGGGTTGCGTTTGTCCTTTTTCGTGTATCAGTGTGCTTTTTTTTTTTATTGCTTCTTTCCATGGTGCAGTTTTATGTTGCCAAACAGCAACATAGATTCGTAAGCCTTATCTGGCATAGAAAACAGCCATATAACTTAAGAAATACTCATATATTTCTTGCCGAGTTGCTTGTTAAAAAATAACGATAATATAATAAAATAGCGGAGCCCTATAATGCAGAGTAGAGTGTCTCACCTAGCCAGTTCCATCCACGCGAGTCGTCAGTGAACATCTCGCAACCCTGGCTAAGAACGAAGACTGGGAATCAAGGGAAAGGGAGGAAGTTCTGGTTTCTGATACAGAGTGTAGAGGAGTGTTTTTAATTAGTACTGACTGAAGTTGCCTTAAGTTGTTAATAGAATGCATCTAGGTGAGGCTGCACTAAGACTGCCTCCGGGTTTGCCCCAAAGCTTTCTTGGGAGGGGGTGGTGGGGAGGCAGGACCTGAGCCTTCTTTTAAGCAGTCACTTGCATAGCAGGAAACTGCCGGCATACCCGAGGAAAGAATAGGTAGGAGGCTTTGGCTCAACATATTTCTGTAGTTCAAAATAACATACACATCACAGCTACACACACACACACACACACAGAGTTGGAGGGAAATAACAGCGTGCTCCATCGCTAAAGCAACAGGAGTTTGTCATTTAGAATATGCACTTTGGATGAAGTGCAGAGAAGTCCTTACTTTCTGTTCATTCTTCTGTGCAGTGATTCATTTACAACAGAGCTGGACTATTTAAAAACTCAAACCTTCCGGTCTTTTAAAATATATCTAACAATGACATAGTCATTAAAAAAATTTTAGAGTAAATTTGCCTTCAAAGCAAACAGAGTGGTGAAAATGTGAAAAATCAATGCATGATCTTGGTTTTAGGAGAATATTTTATATGGAAGAGGGTAAGAAACCTAAACCTTTCAAGTAAGCTGAGTAGAACTTTAACATCTGAGTCTGAACTAGAGTGCCCACGCGCAGGTATTTTTTCTAATCTCCGTCGTATCAAAATGTAAATTTATCTTGCATAGCAAAAGTGGTTATTTTTCAAACGATTTTAACCCTGTGAAGTATTTGAAATTTTAACCCTTCTGAAGATGCCAGCTTTTACAGTCCCCAAAGGTTAAGGAAGATTTAAGTGTTAACAGTTCCCTTGTCCAAGAGCGTAAAAATATGTATACAAGATCCTTTTAACGGTACAGAACCCCAAACCCTACTCCCACCTCTCTTCACGGGCACCAGTCTTTGGGCTGTAATATATAACCTTAAGTTATATCACGAAACTTGCATAGTAACATTCTGAAAGAGAAAGCAGGGGCTCCAGAAGGGTAAGTTACTCCTCTTCACACAGCTAGCCATCTGAAAAGCTCTACATACCCACTCCCAGCCCGACATTGCTGGCTCAATGGTTATAGCTTTGTAAAATGTTATCAAATTGGAAAGACTGATAGAGCTCATCAGTGTGGACACCGTCGGTGTCATAGAACTGGTTATCTGCAATGCTATTCTGATGGTTTGGGATGGGGTTGGTGGATAGTCTTGATTCGCTCAAAACTTCTTGGTCTATAAAACTGTAAACTGCTGGATCAGCTAAGTTAGACTGCGAATTAAAAGGCGTGCTGCCCGGGGCTGCTACAGACGGGCAAGCTGGAGGCACCTGATGGAGCTGCTGCCTGTGATTGCTTGCATTTAACACCGGATTGTACTTTTCGAAGTTTATACTAGTGCAGTTCATGTCATCGGTCTCCATGTTCACGATGCTGGCTGTGGAGATGCTGGCGGGATGAGCCTGGTGCACGACGCTGTTACTAGAAACACTCTGCATGTCTGCAGTTGACACCGCCACTCCTCCCATCCCGTTTGTGCTGCCAAAATTCCGGTAGAAGCCCGAATCCTTCTCATCAGGCCAGTTCAGGGGGCTGTCGTGGAAAGCTGGGAGAGAGCCGCTGCCCTGAGCAGCAGGCTGAGGCGCGTCTGCCGCAAAGCTGTTCTGCGGGTGCGCATTGAGCAGGCTGCCGGCGGAGGAGGGGCTGCTGTACAGCTGCTGCCAGCACGAGGAGAGCGCGTCTTGCTTCCCCGGCCCCACCGGCGCAGGCTGATGGGGAATCTGGTTGAAGGCAGGGTAGATCTGACCAGTGTTGGCCAGGGTTCCTAGCCCCGGCATCATCAGCGCGGGTGAAAACATGTTTGGTTCTATGGAAAGGAAAGACGTGACTGCATTTTAATGCCATTTTTTATATTTTTTTCAAATTACAAATGGGAAAAAGCAAAGCAAAACCAGTGCTATCTTAGTAAGATTATATGTGCATTTGCACTTTCGTACTCGCTTAACTGCTCTCCAGGGTGGACCCTAGATTTCTGGACAGCAGCAAGACAGCTATCCGCCTCACCCCTCTATGGCAAACGCTGAAGCTGACAGCTACATTTTAGTAAAGAATGGTGGTTTTTTAGTTTGTACAGTCAAAAGTACCAGTATCTTACAGGAAGAAACCCTCAAGAGAACATTAGAATTTCAAGCAAAGAGGAGGGAAGGCCAGAAACTGAGTGCACGTTTCAAGGGCTGAGTATCTGAACGCAGAGAAAAAAAATCAGTAGTTATCTAAATTAAGGCTGAAAGCTAGCAACGCTTAAAGACGAAGAAGGTGTAGCCCTCTCCTGTGCAAAGGGGAAGCTGCAGCACGGCAGAGGCTTTGAGAAGAATCCGGAGGAGGGAAAGTAAGAGGCGGGTACTACTGCTGCCTTGGGAACTTCAGTCCCCCCTGAAAAATGCCCTTCCCCACAGCAATCGGGCACTATTTGTTTCAAACCGCTGTCGGATTGGGACACGCCTGCAAAAACCTACCTTTCTTAATCAGCTTCCCCTCAGGAGTGACAGCGGGGAATGGAGCTACTTTGGGCCTCTCTGTCGCATTTGATCCTGCGATGGAAGAAAGCATGAGTCCACACTGAATGTTTGCTTTCATATAAAATAGCTCCATCTAAATGTAAGTTCACTCAAACAAGAAAAAGACAAATATTTTCCTTACCACAGTCCTGTATGAGCTTTTGCCAAGCCAACGTTGATCTTTGCCTTTTTGCTTTGTTGCCATACGGATCTACAGAGAAAGGAGTAGAAGGAAAAAGTGTTACGTTTCTCTTTGATATAATTAGTAAAGGAACTTTCTAAAACTTATACTAGTGGCTCCTAATTGTAGTAAAATATATTTAAAGAAAAATATTTCAGACGTGACAGCACTAACGAAGACGATGTTATTAACAGTGATTCTTGATGTTTTCATTGAAAGAGGGAGCAAACTGACTATTGTTACTTTAAAAACGAAAAATCTACTTTGTAGAGGTAGTGTTGTAGTGTTTATTACCAACACGAGTTCTGCACTGATAATGTCTTTTCAGAAACTCAGGTAATTGGAACCGTACCCTTTTCATCTGGTAGGTATCTGAAATCCATAGGTTCACTGACTTCCTGGTCTGAAGGTCTTCGCAGCTGCATCTTCACCGTGACGGGCTCGGTGATGTCTTTGAGAAACGGGGGCGTTCTGAACACAATTGCAACTTGACGGTGAACGTCAGCTTGTGAGAAGGAACCTTTGGCCTCCCAGTTGTCCAAGACAAACCTGACTTCTATATCATCTAGTCCATTAGAAACAGAAGATGCTTATTAAGTGGAAAACTGAAAACTTGCAGCAGAAAAAAAACGGGAAGGGGAACAAAGAACGGAGTCTGACTTAAGAGTTCAGATGCAAAGTAAATGGCTCGACTTTAAAGGCACCGAGTATCTTTCAGAGGTGCTGAGAGCCCTTGAACCTGAAAGCTATTCTGCCCTGCCCAGCTATAAAAGCAGACCACTTGCACGGGAGCGCGGTGAAGGGCTTAAGTTCCCCAGCTAGAAATGGTAGTGTCAGCCATTTGGAACAAAGGTGGTGGCGGTGGGGAAAACCTAGACAAGATTACCTTTTTGAACTTTGTCACACAGTAGAAATATTTCATCTCCTCCTTTTACACTTCCACAGTTCTTGTTCACACGACAAATTCTTAATTCTGCTGTGTTGGGAGCTCCTGGAAACAAACGGGCAAATTTGATGATAAAGACTTACTGTAACTTTGTCACTACGGAAGCTGAGGTGCCGGGAGTTAAGGCATGAGAAGGGAAGGCAGCAGCTGGAGGAGTGGGACACGCTCCAAAATCCACACTAAACAGGTCCCTCCATATAGGAAATTCAGAAGCAGGGCTTGACGTTCCATGATCCTACAGCTCTTGGCCGCTCATCTCCAAACACAAGACACCAGTGCAGCTGTGCCACTTACGCCCTAACTCTTCTAGAGTAGTCTCAAAATACTTCCCCGAATGACGTTACCGTGCCCGGCGCTGCTGCCCGTCAAGCTGCAGAATGCAAAGCAGTTCTTTGAGGGACTGATTACCTGTTACAGTCATGCTTCTCTGGAAGAAGCTGGGCTAGCGAGTCAAGAAAATTCCCCTCTCTGAGCAGCAGAGACGCTTGGCCGTCAAACCTCTCCTCTGTAACCCCCTCTAGGTGTTTGAGAACAGGTCTAGGAGTAACTTTTGTGCCTTTACTCAGGATAGCAGATTTCACCCCAAAATGCTCAAAATTCAACTCCAAGCTGTGGCTGTAGGTGGACAGCACTCACGATAGTTGCGGATGGAGAGCTGCCCTGCGCACAATCTCTGGTAGCGTTGTACGTCGCAAGAGATTAACCATCACCCAAGGTCGCACACCGCATCCGAACAACGCGACGGCTACGGGGGACTCGTGCGGGACGGAGACAAGCGCGGCCTGATGGTGCCTGGCCCCGTTCGGCAGCTTTCCTGCAGGGTAAATACGGACCGGAGACTACTGCAAGAAAGAACAGCCCCCTCGGAGCTTGGTGGGCTATGTTACAATTTATTTAAAAGGGCACTAACGTCACAATCTAGTGACTCAGAAGTAACAAAGAACAAACAAACAGAAGCCAGAATGGAAGAACTCTCTCTAGAATTTCAAGTTCACCCCCTGTGTCTATATGCTGTGTTGATACTTTTAAGCACATGAGCACATACCAATTTTAAGACCCCGTCTTCATTTAACATACGAAGTAACTGATACTCATTTTTCTGCTGTCTGTGACTATATTCATAGTTTACGACACCCTCTTCCACCTCTGCAGTCGCAACAGAACAAAGCTACATCGTGTCATGATGTTCTCTCATCTTCTTATGTCAAGACATCACCTCCAAATGTATATAAAACGCCGGGGAGGATCCGGCTGGTGCCGCTCTGCAACCCAGAAACCGATCCTCCTACCACTGCAGCAACGTGAGGCTCCAGCACCACGAGCTCCCTGCTCCAGGCACAGAGGTGAAATAAAACCCCAAAGCTTATGGTGTCACCCTCAAAAAAAAAAAAAAAAAAAAAAAAAAAAAAAATCTACTTTAGACTCTCAGTTTGAGTCAATTCCTGCCCAATCTTTCATGGTGCTGTACAGGTACGCTGCAGCACGAGACAGACTACGCTGAAAACAGAGCTCCTGGTAACCTCAGGCCAGACCCCAATTACGTAGTTACTACCTACAGCTATTACTGCTATTATTTTTAGGAGAAGTGGGTACTACAGCCTCACTTACTACATGACACATGCCACTTCATTTGCTGAATGAATCAGAAACTTTAAAGGGAGGGGAAACAAAACAAACCCAGAAACAGCACAGGATCATATGATTGACAGTGTCATTGTGCGTTTTTCACAGGAAGGGTAAATTAAGAACTGCAAGGACAAGCCTAATTTTACCTTTGTTTCACTTCTGTATGCTTGAGTGGCACTCGGTGTCCTTTTAAACAGGTTTTTGGGAAGGTCTGCCAGGCTGGAGTTTGTTGTTTTGTCTTTTATTTTAAGGGGAGTTTAGAAGGGAGGATAAGGGAAAGGAACACAAGTGCCAGCAGACGTGGGTGCTCCACTCTCTGCTGTCAGCCCCGGTGCCGGGCAGGAACACCGAGTTTGGCAGCAGCCTCCGAGGGAGACCTTCTCTGGGGCCGCTGTCGCGCCGCGCTGCTCCCCCCATCTCTCTTCCCCGCCGCACGCCCTCGCCTCCTGCCCAAGTCCCCTTCCTTTTGCTCCCCAAAAGCACGTCCCTGGTAACAAATCCCGAGAAAAACGAGCTGCTCACCAAAAATCACATCACTTTCAACAAGGGCAGAACAAGATGTTCTCCCTCGCCTCGTTCCTCAGAAAGGGTAAGCCGCTTTTTCTGACTCTTCCCAAGAGTTTTCAGCGTGGCAAGATACACAGCTTGGGAAATTTCTGTTCAAAACCAGTTAACGTTGTAAGCAACAGAAGACAGAAGCTGCCTGTAATACTGAATTTTATAAACTTGCAGTCTCTGCTAATGTGATTGCCTCCGTATTATGTTCGTGATGTTCTTACGTATCTCTACTACCCAAAGCAGGTGGAGACGATGAAGTATTGGAAAGTGAAGAAGATACTAGGTTTAAAACGTGCAAGCTGATTTTCAGAAAAGCTCTGAATACCTTTTTGCTCCCGATCCGGACAGATCTGCGAAAGCTTGAAATCTAACAACCTAGGATTTCCAAGCCCATTGCACCGTACAATTTCATCTCTTATCTAAAGTTATAACCTGACCTTACCCAGTTCTGCATGACAAAGGCTAACATTTTAAAAAGAAATTCAGGTCTGAAACTGCTCTTCCAGACAAGAGCAGCATAATTTTTATGATTTGTGGTTGCAGTTACGCACTGTTTTATTTACACCGCCGCTACGTTACATGGAGGATTTTAGATACCTATAGTGTATCAGAAGCTGCCCACACACACCCACATTAAAAAACCAAGCTTCCCCCACCGCACAGCTATCTGTCATTTCAGCAGCTTAGCAAAGACTGACGTCAATCAACGTAGACGACTAATCATGATTTGGCACATTTCTAAATGGCATCTGAGACATAGCTGCAAATCTTGTACATCAATTTTATCTCAACCCTAATTACTTCAGTACTACAAGGGTTCTCAATAACACAATGCACACAGATCCAACTTCTAGATAATTCTAGAAGAGAGACTAAAAATATCAAAACCACCCGAGTTCACATGCAACGTTTTCACAGTGGTTATGCCCACATCAACACAACGCTAACATCAACTTTATAAAATGCAGGCCTCATTTTATTCAGTAGTTTCTGCTCAAGTCATGACCTTAAATATTTAGCGTGGAAATACTTTCACTGCAGAAATAAAAGCCACTGCCAAAAAGTTTCCAATTATTAAAAGCTCTTCTGCTATTCTTCTCCAGGAGAGAAGTCCAGCACACATTGAGGGCTAAATTCCTCAACTGCAGCAACCTGTCAAAGCCATACGGAAGTCCAGTTTTGTGGAACGTGGAGAACGGTGCCAAGAAGGGGCGTTTCATGTGCTTCTGCACCCTCCCAGAGCATGACCAAACATTCCCTCGTTACCTGCCTATACACTGAAAATAGCAACCAACCGGGATACAAAAGGGATATATAAAAGAGTTAAGACAATCTCCCCCCGGGATAAATCTCTCTCTCGAGTGCTGTTCCAGAGCCCTCGCAAGGCAAAGGCAAGACTCCACACGGGTACAAACAGGCTTTAGAGAACATCCTTGGAAAACAAATCAGTCTTACGGCAGCCATCCATCTCGCTACGATTTATTTTAATCGCTTGGCACGTCAGGAGCAGGCCTTTCCTTGCAGTGATTGCTGTGATACGTGAACAAGGGCTGAAAAACCACCCGTGCCTGAGTCATGCGGCGGACAATTCTTACTCTGGTCGGCCAACATTTCACCCTGGGATCATCTTTTGAGTATCTGCTCGCTGACTTGCCATGTGTTAGACATACATCGAGCAGTCCCAAGCCACTGAAGTGACCCAGAAGACTGGCACAGACCTCAGAAACTGGCCTGGCATTTTTCATCCCAAGCAAAAGAGAAAAACAAAAGGGGGGAAACGCATTTGACTGAGTTGGTACTTACTGTTGTCATAGATGGGGTTGGAAATCAAAGGAGGAAGAGCTAACGTGTAGTTGCCGTGTTCGTCGGGGAGGAAAGCTTGGAAGCAGAGGCGGACGACATTGAGGTCATACTCATCGATGTTGTGCAGCTGTTCTTCAGGCACTGAACAGCGGAAGGAAAGACAAGACTGAGGATTAGTCATCAAAACCAGCAGCAATTCTTTAACAAAAACTGGGGATGAATCTCCAGCGGTAAAAGAGATGCAGACGAAACGTGCCCATAGTCCCTGCTAGCTTTACAGGGGCTGCATGAATAAACTCCTTGTACACAACGAACGATACAGAAGCCTTTAATGCTTTCCCTTCATCAAACAAGGCTAAACTGTCCTACTTCTCCAGCTGTTTCTTGCGTCTGGCTTCCTCACCTTGCTTTCCACAGCAGTTTCATGTATCTATAGTTTAAAAGTCATTCCCTGGACATGTTTCTCTCTCGTTTGTGCATGATAAAATTTACAAAGTGAATGCCGCTGCCGAAGAGAAATCTTTCAATACAAGTAACTCCTAGGACGTAGCTGAAGATCTTCAGCAACGCTGAGAGACTCCGGCTACATGATATCGCTATTTTCCTCTAGAAACCGAGATGGAAAAATAGTCAGAAGGCAGTTCTTGGGGCACGAGTGAAGCCGAAACAACACAAGCCATCTCTGCCCTCCCATCAACATCTGTGTCACTTCAGTACCTTTGAGAATAGTGATTAGCGGTGCCATTACGATAACAATTTCGTAATACAACAAGCAAACCCTCGCTGGAAAGGATCTGTTTCCTTACATATTCCTCCCAGTGTAAAACACAGTAATGCGTAACCCAAGCTCAGCATTTCAGTTTTGGTCGCTCTTTCACTTATTTTCATTTCATGAATCCCATAGGACCTGGGATATCGTTACTGAACATTTCACGTACATTTCAGCTTCATGGGAGATTCTGGGAGAAGCAGCCCTCTCTGAATTCAAAGCTTTTCTTTAAGGTCTGACGTTAACTATTATGTTGACATTCAATGCTAGCAAAATGAGAAACTGATTTAATTTCATTTAGGTAGAAGTACTGATAATTAAATCCTTTAAAGTGGCTCTCTTTACCAAAATCGTTCAAAGCAGCAGCTCAGCATAGGTTTTAACTCCTCGCAGTTACCGAAAGTGAACGTGTGCCAAGTCAACAGATCACAACCTCTCGAGTTCACCCCTTCCCCTGCCCTTTCAAAGGCCTCTTGCAAGAATGAAAGATTAAACGTGCCTGCGATAAGAAGTCTGGGGATCACGCTGTACTGATTAGATTGCAATGCTCTGACCTTTAACATTTATCACTGGGTTGGTCTCCACCCTGCCATGAGTGGGATTCCACAATGCCCACTCGAATGATTTCTTCCTTTCACCTTTTGATAGCGTGAAATAATAAATGCACTGAGCTCAGAATATTTTCCACTGGCATTTTTAGTCTTTCTTGTGCTCTGAGTATCTCAGTTTCTCCTGGCCTCTACTGTAAAAAGAAATCAAATCACCTTTCCGTTTTAAAAGTCCAAGTTCTGCAATATTTCAAGACAAATATATCAGCGAGCACAAAACTAAGCAGCAACTACGTATGTAACTTCGGAACTGTTGGTGCCAGGGGAGTTCTGCCAGCGTGCGCAGAGCAAAGTTTTATAATTTAAGGTACTTCATTAGCTGACCTGCTAACTTAATAAAATAGGATCTTTAGAAAACAGGTTTGAAGCATAGAGCTGTTCAGCCTAACTCAGCTCCGGCAGACTCCGCAGCCCAACTGCTTCTTGATACAGCCCGATGTAGAGAATAAAAAAAGTGCGTTCTCTAGATTGCACCTTGCAGAAGGGATAATCAGAAGAGCAATGCTACTTTGCTCCCAGCAGCTCAGGTGACTGTAATCCATCACAGCCAGCAGGCAATTAGCTCCCAAGGACACTCTGGCATCAAGGCTTACGTTTGTGTGTTCTATTAGCCATTGGTGACCATGTGGATCCGGCCAGAGAGCCCAAGCGGTAGTCAAATTCCAAACCTCTTAAAAATTAAATTGAGCATAGAGATTCAACACCTTTGTCTAAGGCAACTCACTAGAGATAGAATCCAAGCGCAAAATCTGGATCCGGCTTTTGATTCTGAATGAAAAGTGAGGGCTTTGCGGTTGTGCAATCAAGTCTCTCTCGCACAGCTGAAGCGGCACCAGTCCTGCGCCGCGTCTTCCGCAGGCGCGGCGGCCGCTTCCTCAGAAACAAATAATAGAGGAGGCTTAAAGCTTAAGAGAACTCTGTAAATGCAAAAATACACTAGATATGGAGAAAATTAGTAATGCTAATGTTCAAATAACATCATTTCCTATGCGATGAACTTTCGCAAATTCCCAATAAATCTGTTTAACCACCTGATATAGGAAAGGCGTGGTGTGCCAATAATCGCAAGAAACACAATTGCCGCATACAGCTCACCGTATTACAGCAAAAAGCACTGCTCCTGATTTGCATGTTCTTATAAATGCTTTAATACAATTTAAAAAATCTGTAGCTTGAAAGAGGAAGTGCTCAGTCAAGACTGATTCCTCTTGGGCTATTTTTAACCAGATGAGAAGAACATAACAGCGCAAAAAAGGAGAACAAGACAGCTGCAACTCCATCTTGTGATGACATGCTTAAAAAATATAGAGAGGCTAGGTCCCATGTTCGTATAAAGAAGCGCACCGCTGTCATCAATTTCAAAACGTGTTTCATTCCCACCTAAAAGACAATCATGCAACCAAAATAAAATGTTGTTATTTTTAACGAACGTCTAATTCTGCTCCCTCTGAAGTCGATTTGAGAGTAGCCACTAACTTGAACGGCTACTGGCTTACACCTTCAGAATATTAAAAACAAACAAAAACGAGGCAGACAAACACCCTGACTAACGCCTGGAGTGTAGCCCTACGGAGGATGGTCGTGTTATTTCACCGACTTCTCTACAGAAGAACAACCTGACAAACCTGAAAGTTATTAAAGTTAAGAAACACTGTTAAAGATTTTGGGAACAGAAAGGGCTGGAGGAGAAGAGCAGCCGCTCCATCAACCTGCGCAAGCTCCACACGAGCAGCTCGACTGAAACCAGTGACGTTGCACACGTGAAGCAAAAAAAAGGTCGCACGATGCCGCGTGTTGGGAGCAGATACGGTAAAAAAGGCTCGAACACGACACGCGAATAAAAGGCAGAAGTACTCTGGTTTTGGCAAGAGTTCAACTTCCTCTTCTGACTGCTGCTCGCTGTGTGGTACCACACCTTACCGTCTTCACATGAACCAACCGAAAGGGCTGGAAGCCAACCAACAATCTAGGTACGTTCCTAGGATGGCCCAACCTAATAAAAAAACCCTAGCCTTAACCTGGCAGAAATTCATTTTCCATAGTTATCTGTGCAAACAGGAGCGTGTGAAGGAATGTTTCTAAGTATGGCTCTTTTACAAGGGGAAGGAGAGCCTTCAAAAGTAACGCTTAGCAACTCAAACATGTAGAAATGAAAAGAATACTTTAAAAGAATCAAAATTCTAAGTTAATTATGGGACAAGCTGCCAAAAAAAAAAAAAAAAAAAAATTTCCATAAAACCACCACCAGCGCAACGGAAGAAAACGAACCCCACTCACCAAAAGTCTGCGATAGGATTTAAAAAACAGTATCTAGAGTTACACTCAAACCTGGGGAGTATCAGCTGTTCAACCTGAAAGGGGCTACAATAACTAGCAAACCCTTTCTTCATAAATCTGTTTGCAACCTTTCTGAAAGAAATGCTGATTCCTCAACTTAAAAAATAATTACCTTGGAAATATTTCTCTACTCCATTATCCACTATCGTGGAAAGAGACTGATACAGTCCCAGTGGGCACAAAAACACCCCAGCCAAGCTGGACGATGAACTCCTTCCCCCCTGAGCTGGCTAATCCGAGCAGCTCACGCGACGCAGGCATTAGGTTTGGGTCGTCCCTGTGTCAGAGATTCATGTCACTGAAGTCCAGAGACGCCCTGCTGGGTTTCTACTGAGTAAGAGAACTTCTTGGATTTGCTTCTGTAACACAAAATTGGAGACTTTCTGGGTCCAAGCCACCAACACGCAATTCCAAGTTCGGGCACAAAATTAAAGATGCTGACAAGATCAGGCCTCCTGTTTGTTTATTAATTTCTAATGTTTTTTGCTACTTTAACAGTCTTCAACATCCAGAAAGGCACCATTTATCTGATGAAATTACTGGGGGACTGATGTTTACTCATAAGGTGATGCTGCAGGGAAAGTGAAAGTTTATTCTGAACATCGAAGAGAAATGATGAAGCATTTGTTTTTTTGACTGATAACGCGATACCTGATTAAATAGCAGACTCCTCACATACAGCCCTCCCCCCAACTTCGAGACGAATGATGTCAGAAACTGCTGGAGTGGGTGGAGTTGGAGGTACTTTAGCATCTAAACTTAACCTGCACGGAAACTTCCAGGGCAAACGATGCGGTGTGACACCTTCAGAGAGGGCTAGGCTGAGAACCCCCGTTTCCCCTGCAAAGGCACATCTTGTGACCTTCCCTTCGCCGCGAGGGGCTGCGGGGGCACAGGAGCCACGCTAGATCTCAAAGAAAGAGAATGACCTCCCACAAACAAAAACCACTTCACCCAGGAGACCGCTCAGGAACACGCATCGTTAATAATCAACCATGAGCCGCGTCCTGCCTTTTCTCTTACGCAGATGATGGTTTTTAATTTAGGGATATGCTGGGAGCTCAGTTTCGTTGAAGCGATGACACAGAGGTGGCTTTGCCTCAAGCATTTTGCTCCTGGAACACGAAGATCCCCCCTTAGCCCTGATACCGACTGATCCGTTTAACTTACACCAGAGGCTTTTGCTCAGGTTGGCTCTGCCCAACCTTCCTTTCCAGCACTCCTCTTACGCTGGGACTAGCTCTCGTGTGGTTGAATCGGATCAAGGAACTGGTCCGGTTCAAAACTAACTTGCCAGAAGAGGAAAAGTCTTGTTTTCAGTCAGTCGGTTCCCACGACCGCTAGCCCGGGCGCGAGGGAAACGGTGGAAGCAGACAGAGGCGGCGAGAGGAAGGATTGCCTCTGCCGGCACTGGTGCCGACTTATGCCAGGTTCAAGCAGTCGGGGAGACGGGGTGCAAGTCACGGGTCCCTCTCAGCGCCTGGGGGGTACGTTTGGAATTCAATTTACTCTCCGAAGCCTACATCCGCGCTGCAGCCACGGTTGCGGCTGTGTCTGATGTAGCCATACGGCAGCCAGCCTTAGGAAGGGCCACGGCAGGCTGGGAACACCGCACACGCTACGTCACCCAAGTGTTTGACTGGCGTCTCCTGCAGCTGAGCTTCACGCAGCTAAAAAGGATCTCACCAGCTAGTTTAATGCTACATTTGCTGTTTCTAAGTGAATTACAACCATACTGGTACAATACAATCAATTCTGCAGAAGAAAGAAACCCCTGCGTGTACCTACAAACAGAACGTGCATCAGCAATGCTCAGTAATTTTAAAAAAGCAAAAACTCAGAGGGTTGATTAGTGCACATGACTGTAAAATTCGGATGCAGTCAATAAATGCCCAAACCACTATGGTTACTTTTCCCTGTTTCACAGAAGAAAGAAGCGCAGGGAAGGTGAATGGCTTGGCCCGAGACAAAAGCCAAGCGATGAACTGGGAATACAAACTAAAACTTTCGAAACTCAGTCCTTGCTTTGTC